ATGGTGTTATACTTGAAAATCTAGTTCGCAATTTTCAAGAATTCTATCTATCCTATACTACCTAAATACCTCTTATTATAAATACCCAATGCCCATTACGTTTTTGTGGATAGTTGATCATTATTTTACATTCTCGTAACATCAATCCAAGATCCAAGAACACATCAAAACATTGAGATTAACCTTTTGATTCTTGAGATCAATCAACCACAAGTTGGGAAAAACATCAAAGTCAATTAATCCAAAATACTCATTTCCTAGATGTAATTGGGAAGGTACTTTTTCAATAGCTTTTAGAAGTTGCTGAAAATTGAGAGATGTTGGACCGCAAGAACAGGAAGAGTATAAAAATAAGGTGTTCTTGGTGATCCACATGAGATAGACAATTCTAGAAGATTGGGAGTATGTGTGAGTGAAACACATTCCAAGGGATCATGAAAATTGCAGATTTTAGATCAACGAGTCTAGTGGGTCTTATAAGCTGGATCATATTGTAAGTTCTTATTGTCTATAGTAGATACCACTGGCTTGGTCCTGGAATTCTTACCTAGTTAAGGGTTTTTTTGGTCATCAATTCTTTGTGATGTTTACATTATTGATTTCATACAAGTTGACAATTCAACATAGGATAGTTAATTCACATGAGCTAGATCTAGATTAATTAATTATTATGAATTGTTGCAATATTGATCAACGATAATTTTTAATTCCGCATTATGCACGTATTCACCTCTTCTAGGTGTTTTTAAGGTTGAACGTGTAGCTTTCAAGTGGTATCAGAGCCCAAATTCATTTCCTGGCCCTAGTTTTCTCGATGAGTAGTTCATTGTATGTCCCGTCATATTTTGTTGGCAGTAACTATGCATATTAGAAAGTTAGAATGAATACTTGCCTGAAATCTATGGATGAGCGTAGTAAATGGTTGGGCTGCCCCTTCTAGCATTGTTAATGATGTTGTCATCCCCATTCCTGTAGCTAATTGGTCGAAGACTAATTTAGATGGGTGTAATTGGAACAGTAAGGCCTTACTTGCTTTATTTATGTTTGTGTCACCTAAAGAGTTTAGGCTTGTGTCTGTGTGTAGTTGATAAAGAGGTTTGGATATTTTAGAGACCACACATGAGGAGACTCAACATATTGAGAATTAAGTTACAGATGTTGACCACTGGATTTGAAGAGATTATGATAAAGGATGATGAGACCTTCGAAGACTTCTACGCAAGCTTAAATGACATACTTAATTATAGCTTCAACCTAGGTGAGAGAATTCACATGCCTAAAATTGTCAGAAATTTTTTAGATCCTTACCTGAGATTTAAGCCTAAAATCATGGCTTTCGAGGAGAGTAAGAACATAGACACTATTAAGGTTGAAAAATTAGTTGTATCTCTCCAAACTTATGAACTAATATTAGTTAAGCCTAAGAAGGATAAGTATTTGGCCTTGAACACTGTTAGGGATGATTATCATGATTCTTCTAATTCGGAATCGCTTAACGATGAGGAAATAGCCTATTTTGTTAAGAATTTTCATAAAATGTTCAAAAATAAGAAGAAAACTAAAGAGAGACATAGAGGTGATTCCAATGAATCTAGAAAGAGATCTAAATCTATGTGATGTCATAAGTGTCAAGCTTTTGGCTACTATAGAAGTGAGTGTCATAATGGTAAGAGAAATTAGGTAAAGTTATGAATACAACTCTTACTGATGACAAGTCTACCTCTGATAATCAAAGTGAGACATCACTCATGAGGAGAATGGGAAGTTTACAGCCTTCACTGCTAGGATTAAAAGTGAATCTGATAAGGATGGTGACAAGGTTGAGGAAATAGATAGCGGTGAGCAATCTGAGGAAGATTCTGAAGATGAGGAAGAGATTCGTGAGGTTTATCAAAAATTATTTAAAGAGAGTCTTAAAATTAAGAAGGTGAATAAAGTCATGCTTAAAAAAGTCAATGAACTTAAGTTGATAGAGAGAAATTTGAAGTTGACCTTCAGGAGTTTACCTTGAACCTCAATAAACTAGATACTATGAATCAATTCCTAAAGTCTAAGATTAAGGATCTTACATGTGAACTTGAGAAGTCCTCTAGGAGAGTTAGTGAGATGACCATTGAGAATGATAAATTAGAAATCCCGGTTATGAACCTTCTGAGTGAACTTGAATGTTCCAAGTCTCAACTTCTTGCTTTCTCTAGTGGATCTCAGAAATTGGACGATCTTTTAGGGTTAAACAAGTCTGCTGGGAACATGGGAGGTCTAGGATATAAGCAGACCAATCATAATAGGGCTAGTACTTCTAAAACCATTTTTATCCGTGCCACCAACCAGCTTATGTATGTTCCTAATCCTAAATTCAAGAACAAAGGTATCATAGCACAAAAGCCTACTAGACAACGTAGGACCTACCAACCTAGGAATAGATATCAGCGATTACATAACTTTGAATCTAGATTTATCCCTAATTGTTTCAATTGGGGCAAGTTAGACATACAAGGCCTATATGTCATAAATTCATGAATAGAAATAGAAATCAAAATTTCACTAAAGTTAGAAATCAGGATTTTGATGATCGAATTGACTTCCTCAATAATCAAGTAAGTTATTTGACCAAGTTAATGACACAATTGACTCGAAATAAATCATCTACTAAACAAGTCTGGATTAAAAAGAGTGATATGAAAAATTGTGAAATTGATCACGGTACTCTTAAAGGTAAGAGCGTTTGTATACCTAATTGATTATGTGTTTCTTGTACATGCTTATGCTTATTAATTGTGATTCATTCATTATTGTATGCATTTCATTTTTTGATTTATTTTTACTTTTTAGGTAGTTTGATTTAAAATAATAATAATAATAAAAAATTGAAATTTGAAATTTGAAAAATTGAAAAATAAAAAAAGAGTTGTTTTTTTTCGCTACAGTATGATATATGATTTACTTGAACATGCGCGTTGTGACCAAGTATGAGTTTAATTGATGCGTTGTAGCATATTTTTCATTACTGTGTTTAGGTTTATGTGGAATACTTAGTATATGTTTTTTCATGTACCATCTGCTCTACACACACTATGATCTTTTAAGTAAGTCTGACTGCGCGTGTGAGATTTGGAATGATCGTCATTTGTTGGTAAGGTGACAGTATATATAGATTGACCTTAATTTAGTAGACCTAATCTCTATTATATTCCCTTAAATAAAAAATTGTTTCATCTTATTTTCTTTTTCGAAATCTATTTGACTCGAGTAATTAAGTTTGAGGAGTTTTTCATAACCTGATGCCCTTTAGTTAACTGATTTGAAGTTATCGGCTCAAAACTCGTTACATGAGTTATCTTAGTCGTTTAATGGAGAATATTTTGCACATAAGATATGAAAAATTGAAAAGAAAAATGATGAGTTTAAATGAAAAAAAAAAAAAATTGTGCGAAAATGTATATATGCTCAAAGTAAGGAAGAGAAAAAAATAATATACATGAAAAATGAGCTTTATTTAAATGTAATATGCATTATTAGTTTGAATTTCATTAGTAGGAGAATAAATTTATTTAATAGTGATTTTAGTATGTTCTTTTTCACGAATTTAAGGTTTAAAATCTTGATCACAAGGAATTAGTGACATTTAACACACATGACAATTCTTATAAAAGAGTTGTCAAAGTCAAGGAGTTGTATTGTCAATTCTTTAGATAAAATGATTATTATAAAAGATTTGTCAAAATCAAGGAGTCTTTTGGAGGGTTGTATAAATGAACTAAGAGTTTTTGGGTTCAAGTGTGGAACAAGAAGAGTCGTCGGATTTACGCTAGCCTATCGCCTAGATGATGCTCGAGTGGAAAAAGCAGAATCACTGTAGCCCGACTATCGCTTGAGTGACACCTCTCACTCGTCTGTTGCTAGCTTGCGCTCGAGCAATGATGTTATACGTGAACCCAAGTTAACCCTAGTTAACGATTTTTAAGAGTTATATTTATATCCTATACTATCTAAATATCTATTATTATAAATATCCAATGCCCATTAAATTTTTGTGGGTGGTTGATCAATCTTTTACATTTTCATAAGATCAATCCAAAATCCAAGAACACATCAATATTTTGAGATTAACCCTTTGATTCTTGAGATCAATCAACCACAAGTTGGGAAAAACAAAACACCAACTTCCTAGATATAATCGAGAAGGTACTTTTTCAATAGCTTTCAGAGGTTGCTAAAGATTGAGGAAGGTAGGACCTCAAGCACAAGAATAGTACAAGAACAAGGTATTCTTGGTGATCCACAAGAGATAGACAATTCCAAAAGATCGAGAGTAGATGTGAGTGAAGCACGTTCCAACGGATTTTGGAGATTGTAGGAATTAGATCAACGAGTCTAATGGATTTTCTAAGTTGGATCATATTGTAAATTCTTATTGTCTATAGTAGAAACTACTGGCTTGGTCCCAAAATTTTTATCCAATTAACGGTTTTTTCCGTTATCAATTCTTTGTATTGTTTAAATTATTGATTTCATACAAGTCAACAATTCAACATAGGGTAGTTAATTCACGTGAAGTGGATCCAGATTAATTAATTATTGTGACTTTTTGCAATATTGATAAACGATCATTTATTCACTCCGCTCTAGACACTACGCCAAAAATGATCATTTGTAACACATAAAATGCAACAATCAGTAGTTAAATGTTGTTAAAGGCGTCTATCGTAACATTCTAATACATGAATGTTGTCATTCCTTAACAAAATTGAGCATTGACAACATTTTTTAAGTGAATGTTGCTAATGTTGCCTTTTTTCAACGTTTTTTTAGTGTTGCAATATTTTTTATTTTACAACGTTTCAAAATCCACAATCCACTAAATCAAATCATTTTAACATTAGCCATAACTTTTCCTCATCTCGTCTCCGCCTCTCCTCTCTTCTACTCCCTACTCTCTATCATCTCCATGGGTTGTTCTCTATTCAAATTGAGGTTAAACTAAAACCGGATATAGCAAGATGGCGTTGAAGCTGGCAGCTTCAAGGTTGAAGCTATTGAGGAACAAGAAGGAAGTGCCGGTGCTTCGCCTCTGTGCCGGTGACTTCGAGCCTTAGACCAGCTGCTTCACCTCCGTAACCTACTGTAAGTTTCTGAGGCTTTCTTGAAAATTGTTTCTCTTCTAGCTCAAGCATTTTCACACGAGAGAATCGAAGAAGAAATATCTTGTAATTCAGTGGCATTATCCTTCCTACAGACCTCTTGGGTCAATACTAAACCGCAGCAGCTTAGCCATGGCTGCTGCCTCAGTTCAGTTCCAGCAGTGACCCATCAGCCGAATCATTTAGTTTTCTGAAATTTAATTTTCTGAAGTCTAGCTAAAATTTGGGCGGATTTTAACTGAAAGCCCTAGTCTTGTGACATTCCCCTTTGCTCTGTTTTTGTAGGATTGAACCCTCTTCAAGAAATATCTCAACCTAGGTTAGCTTGTTTAGGCTTAATTTTCAGTAATCTGCTCCTGACCTAATCTTTTTACGGATTTTGATGACCCTATTGAAGTAGAGAGTGAAGAAGATTCGAGATGTGAGTTTGACACGAGCTCAGATTCGAAAGATGCTGGAACTTTCCTTGATGATAATTCAGAACTTGAAGGAAGTGAAGTTGACAGGAAAGCTGATGAGTTTATAGCAAAGTTTAGAGAGCAAATTAGGCTTCAGAAAATTGCATCTGCTAAAGGAAACGGTGGTTGTTAGCTACTAATGAAGTTAAAATTTTAGGTACCAAAAAGATTATACATTGATCAGTGTTCTATTTATTAATTTGTTGTCCTCGCAGACCTTATATTAGTTGGACAAACTGAGTAAATTATACAGTAAAGATGAAGCTTATGGTGGTTACTAGGAAATTTATTTGGGATGATTGTTTCATTTCTACATTTTCTGTAATGAGATTGTCATAGCTCCTAGTTTTGCATCAATTATATGCACATTTTTTTGTGAAT